AAGAGGAGGAGGGGAGACGGCAGAGGGAGAAGGAGTAGGAGGAAACGAAGAGGGTTTTGCAGGGCCTTGATGCGGTGGCGGAGATGGCGAAGAGGGAGAAGGTGAGGAGAGCGATGAGATGGTGTCGCCGTTGATGTGGAAGTGATGGTGTGGGTTGGTTCAAAGGGAGAAGGAGAGAGTGCAGAGAGAGAGAACATGGGTAGAGATGAGAGAGTGAGGGAAAAGAGAGAACTGAGAGAAAAGAGAGACCGGGGACACAAAAGCAAGGTGGGCCCCTTGGGCACACCTATTAAGATCCAAAAATAATTTTAAAAGTAAGATAAACTCAAACTTAGTGAAAATACAATTTAAATTGGGGGTGGGTGTAACAATCTACCCCTCTTAAAAGAATTTCGTCTCCGAAATTTAAAATCACTTACTAAACTGAAATACTCGAAAATAGGAAGAAGAATATATGTATAAAGAGAAATCAAGTCCAAATAATTACTTCATATTAAAATTTGATTAATTTTTTTTCAGTTACATATATTATATATGATAAATTTCTATTTTAAATCAAGTCCAAATAATTACATCATATTAAAATTTGATTATTATTTTTTCAGTTACATATATTATATATGATAAATTTATATTTTAAATCAAGTCCAAATAATTACATCATATTGAAATTTGATTAATTTGGAAGAAGAATATATGTATAAAGAGAAATCAAGTCCAAATAATTACATCATATTATTAAAATTTGATTAATTTTTTTTCAGTTACATATATTATATATGATAAATTTCTATTTTAAATCAAGTCCAAATAATTACATCATATTAAAATTTGATTAATTTCTTTTCAAGTATCTACTTTTGAACTACTCACCACGTTCACTCTATGTGATACTAAGTCACTCATATATCTTACCATACAATGTATAAAGTGTAAAATATTGTACTAATTCATTATATATAAATGATTATGGTGTGTTTAAACTTCTTTCATTAATTACTACATATTTTCTACACTCACAATGTTTGTCAGCTCGCTATATAATCAACTTAAATCAGTTAAATCCATCATGGAATGCATTTCCTTCCAATTTTTTGTGATAAACTAATAGATAATTGACTAAATAAACATCATGCAAAGTTTCATTAAAAATTTCCAAGTTTTTCTTACAATTTCCGTGGTTTCCATGTAATTTTTATCGATATCGATATTATCCCGATATTTCCATCGATATTTCCGTGTTTTCGGACTACCGATATTTCCGATATTACCGATATTTTCTTCCTTAACAGAGATTAACCCAATAATATAAAAACATTATTCGGGGCAGATCTTTTTTGGTTGAAGAAATATCCAACAGATTCTCAGAATAATGTTGGCCAATCAAAATAATTAGTGCAGCCGGTGGGGGGAATCGAATTTACATGTAAGCCAAGTGAATCCTACAAATTGGGTCACGCCGGGAGAAGGATGAAGACCTTCCAATAATGGTTCAAATTTATGCATTTAATTATTTCGTAGGAAAAATAAAATAGTTAATTAAATTAATTAAGCAGTAAAGTTACCATTTAGTATATCCATTGGTTAGATTAACTAATATTTATTTTTTAGTCGAACGATATATTTTATTAGATTAACTAATTGACAATATATTTAATTGTCATCTCTCATACAATGTCTTACACCATACTTTCGTTAAAAAAGGGAATTTTTTTTCTTTTGTGCAACTGAACTACTAACTAAATTCTTTTTGTTGAGAGAGGAGTGTTATCCTTTAACAACGGAACGAGTTTTAACTCCGTCGGCTTCCTAATTAATTTAATATCTAATCTAACAAATATATCGTTTGACAAAAAAAATAAAAATAAAAAAATCTTTTTGTTGATGTTTCCAATATTGAATTGGTGTGATATGATATGATATGATATGATATGCTTTAGGTAATTGAACTTCTTGTTGGCTCGGCTTAGCTCATTTTCATTGAGTTTAACTTTTAATCTTGATCCTGCCTCACCAATGATAATTGAAAATGATGGTGGGTTTGAATGAACAACTTTGACCTCGTGTCCTGAATCCAATTTGTTTGTTTTTGAAACAAAAGTGTACTAGGTAATTTAGTTCTGTTGATGCTAAAAATTGTGAGGACCTTGATTCAACATAAAGTGTGGTGTAGTACTTTAGTAAGGGTGCTTCGGTCACTAAGTAATGGTGATAAATAAAGAGATAGGGATAGAGAAGTAGACACGAGATGTATATGGTTTACCATAAGTTTGGCTATGTCCACAGAATTAGAGGAGTTGTCATTATGGGATGTTTACATAATATAAGGGTTTAAGCATAATTAGAGGACTTCGCGTGAATTACGGGTCCTAGGATTCCAGATATCTTAATTGTGGGAGACAGTCTCATTATATAATCATTTTGGTCATCTCTAATCAAATGGACTAAATATAGTCTCATTCATGTTTACAGCCCAGCAAAAAATTGTTTTTTAATGAACAAGCCATATTTATATATCATCTTCTCTGAATAATTTATCAGTATTAATTTTATTGGTTAAAGTTACATAAATATGGCCTTTTTTTTTTTGTAACAATATGGACTGTGTTTGTACATACATCAACATCCTCATCTTGAATTGAGGAGAGGAGGAGGACTAGGAAGAGTAGAGAGAACGAGCGAAATATAAGAGATACAAAGAAAAAATTCGAAAAGAAAGAAGAGAGAGACGGGAAAAACAAAACCGGGCTTGCTATGTTTGGCAAGCCTGATGGCCTTTGGTCAGCCCGATGTTGATTAGGATTTAGCCAGTTTGTTATAGACGGTTTTTTTAGCTTTCTCTGCCTATTTTTTAGATTTGAACTTTTAGTCTTCTCCACTAGAGATGGCCTTACAGGTGAGGAACCGTTGATGTGGGACTCTAGAAACGTCATTGTAGCTAGTATTGCCACCTGTCCCTGAGCAAGTGGGCTTCAAGTTGGAGGAATGGAGAGCTGATTTGTTTGAGGTTGGTTCGTGTGCTTTGCAAGAGTGCCTCAGTAAGAATCTTTCAAAGGATTACCGAGGTTTCCTAGTTGACAAGTAATCGGTGGTTTCAGAGTCTATATAAGTTGCTGGTACAAACAAGTTATATTTATCATTTTTGAAAACTATAAATCATTTTCAAATTGAATACCAAAAAACCCTAAATTCTATTAAAATTAAACTCAATTGGTAAAAATGTTCTTTAAGATTGAAATAACTCATCACTTTGGTTTCTGCTAATGAAAATCGATTGAAATGGTCTCTGAGTTTGTCAACTGTAAATCATTTTGGTCAATAAGTGAAAAATCCGTCAATCTCTTTGTTACATTATCACGTGAACGACCACGTAATCATCTTTTTAAGTATTTTTGTCACTTATCCAAAGTGTAGGCATGCAAGCTGGTTGGATGTCACGTAGGGCTGGGCACGGGCCAGGCTGGGCCAAATTTTAAAGGAACCGGAGCTTAAACGAAACAGGCGGGGCCTGGCCGGGTACATCATATTTCATTACAGGAATTGAATCGAACCCGACTCGTTTCAAAAGGGCCGGTCCGGGCCTGGTCCACGGTTCCTTTTTTTTTTTTTTTTTTTTTTGTTTGGGAAAAAACAATTATAGTAGCACAAATTCAATTTCAAACAAGATCGTAGTTCATAAAGGCTTGGATAGTATAAACATGAAACAAACAATTTAGGAGTCTCCACATTGACAATTGTACATTAAGATTAGTACATGTCTTATTTAGTGCATAACTCCTATGGATATGGTTATTTATATGCCAAACTTATCAAACAGTTGCTATATATGCATAACTAATCATACCTTTAAGTGGATCACAGTAAAACATTACGCACTAACATTAATTTGTATCACATCGTAACCATATCCGTATCTATGCTTCGTAGTTCGTAGGTATCACAAGATAGTTCACTATATTAATCAAATATCCATTGTTATAATTCAAGATGATGTGCTATTTATTTGTGCTATTATTTGTCTCTAGAATTATATCATTTTGGTTAAGAAAAGAAATCTACTGTGACTAATTTAAGTCTTTCTGATTGTGGCTTCTTTTACACATTTGAATTTGTTTTAGAATTGTAAGAACATTTGAGTGACAGAAAGCATGAAATGTTGAACCTAGCAGAATAAGCATACGTGAAACCCTAACAAAAACAAGAAGAAGAAAAAAACACAAATCTGAAAACGCAGTTCTTGATCCATTAAATTCAAAATTGCCTACTCAGATTGAAATCCTAATCCCAATCGCAACTAGCTGACCAAGCTTTTCGTTTCTAGGGTTTCATCATCAATAACTAAACACATCCCAACACAAATCCCAAATCCCACCCTAACATATCCACAATTCCTTCACCCATAGGCTGGTAACAGTTCAATACCATCCTAACAGATCCACAATCCTAACTTAATAGATCCACACAGGCTGGTAGCAATTTAATTTTCGAAGAAGTAGACTTACCGGTAGCCGGGCAAGTAAAAGAATCTAGGCTGGTCGCATAGTGTCCTCGACGTTGGTGATGGGGGGTGATGGTGGTCGCGACGGCAGTGATGTTGTCGAAGAGGAGATAATCGAGGTTGTGGGACCTGGGGGTTCTCTGGGTCTTGAGAATTGGGATGTCGTCGAGGTCGGAGGATGGTTGAATGGGTTGTGTTGGTTGCGGCGTCGAGGGAGTCGAGGGAGTTAGTCGAGGGACAGATGGTGGAGGACAGGTGGGAGTGAGTGAGTGAGAGAGGAGAGTATGTGAGTGAGACCGTGGTGAGTGTGAGACTAGGGTACAAACTAACGGTTCAGATTGAATGATAAGTTATCATTCAATCTCGACCGTTGATTATAATTAGAAACGGGTTGGTCTAGGACCCCTTTTTGTAGGGTTTAAGAACCCACCCGCCCCGTAAATGACATGGGACCGCCCCAGCCCGCCCCATTTATTTTCTAAAACATTTGACACTGGCCCGTACCTGTTCCAATCCGCGGTTCCTCTACCTACCTGTTTGCCCACCCCTAATGTCACGTGCTTCGCTCTTTCTACAAAGTCCGCAGAGTTAAGAAGAAAAAAGAAGTGTTGGATCAAAATCATCCGATTAGATTTGCTGAGTGCAAGTAATCAACCGCGTAAGTGTTCAAATTCTAGGCTGTTGCCTGATTTTTATTTACTTTTATATTTTAATTACTATTAATTTCCGCCGGAGCTGTGGGTTGGGGTTTTTCTGAAATTTGAGATGGGAATCTAAAATGCTTCCTTCCAAATTTTCCAATTCCATTAATGCTTGAAAATTTGAGATGGGTTTTGGCTTTTTCTTGATTTTGGCAGATTAATTTGAAATTTAAAGGTATAGGTCTATAATTTTCTGCGAATTAATGTTGTTAATGGATAGATAATATTGCTGCATATTGATTGCTGATTTGTTTGTTTTTATCAAATTCATAGTTTCTGGGTGGGTAAGATTAGACCAGTTTATTTGATTTAGGGTTGATTGCGGGCCGCAGTCACGAGATGTTTCAGGTGCTAATATTTATATCAAGAGGAACAAAATTACTACTATAATTTGAATATATATGTACATGGTAATTTGATGCTATTCAATTGTTCGTACAACTTGTGTTTCCAAACCCAATAGAGAATTCAATAAATTTGATTCTATTCCTTTAGAGTGTGAAATTGTTACGAAGAAATATTTGACAAGGATCCTAGAATTTAATTAAGGAAGTTTTAACAAAACACTTTCGGTACTGTATACTTTTAACGAAAAACCACATTTATACCTTTCTATGGTACTATTCATTATACCTTTAAAAATGGCATTTCATTAAAAGGGAAGTTTTTTTGAACTTTTCGTTAGTTTTCCTTTTTAATTAAATAGTATCATGAATTCACTTCAAACATTATCTTCTTTTGAGTTTAACCTTTCATAGCTTTTCAGGGTTTTCTGTGGAATTGATGAATTTTCTCATGTCACTACAATAGTTTATTCTTTCTTGAGACTAGATTACCAGTTAACCAAATAATATTCTGCAGAAAAAACATAGCTTAAATTGCTAATATTCTTTTGCTGTTTAAATTTAAGGTGCAAAATTTTTTGTTTCTTTCAAATGAATTTTTATTGAGTAACTCCTGCGTTTGTATGTCAAGATCAATGGCATATAGAGGGCGTGGATGCGGTGGATTTTCAGGTGGGGGCGGTTTTGGCTTTGCCAAGCAAGAGTCTTTTGTGCTTTTTCCTGTGAGTTTTTGTTGCTGCAGTTTTGGCAAATTTTGCATAAGTTTTGGAACTTTGCTAGGTTTCCATGAATTGGAAAAAGACACTTACGGGCTGGCTGTGTTCCTACTTTCCGTATTTAACGTCGAAATTTTACTTTGCAGGACATTGATTTGTGTATTCCCAAAGGTATATCTGATCTAGAGAAAAAACACACTCGTACCGAGGAAGAAAACTTAATCAATCAAACTCGCAAGTTTCAAAATATTTGGAAAGGCTTTCCTTATTATCTTGAGCAGAGCCCTTCGAATGGTTAGCATGTTGTGGTTTAATTTTCATTATTTTTGTTTATTATCATTACAAGTGGTGGTGGAATAAGCAATCTATGTTTAATTTGCATATTTGATCTGTTTTTCCCTTTCTTTTTCTCTATAAGATATGAATCCTAGCCATTATTTTGATGTTGCGGAGAGCATTTCCATTGTTGTGGTATGTTTGAAAATTTGAACTCATTAAATAGACTAGCAGTGTTGTAGAGATGCTTGTATGCTGTGTACAGTGAAAGTTCTGTTTATGCAGTTCCAATGAAATTCATACAGATATGTTGATAAGCTTGGATCTTAAAAGGTAATCAAACAACATGGATATGGTTGAAGATAAAAGTACATATTTATAGTGAATATGAAGTTGATCTCACCAACATTTATAGTTAGATGTAAGAAGCTCACACATCCCTTCCAAAACCATTAACATTCTTCTGTTTGTGACCATTATGCATAGCGGCACACTATCATCAAATGTTTAATTGAAGAAGATTCATAAATAGCAATAATTTCTGACATTCATGTTGCATGGAGCACCAATACTAATTCCTGTTCAAATATAATGTTCAAGAATTTTTGCTATAGGTGCCTTATATCCAACACGTGAATGCTTACACTATTCTTTTTATTCGAATACCATAATGCTTAGGATTTGATTCTTGATTATTTTTTGGATTCTTTTGAACTTATACCAGATTATGTTTGATAATAATGCATTTCTTTAACAAGTGGTTGCAGAGAAGCAAAACATGGATGTGGAAAGATATTCTGACAGGACAAAGCCAAAAACCACGATAAGACGCGGTTCTCTTTTTAGTATATTGGAGCTCAAGGGATTTCCTCAAGAACTGACTGGAGGTTTCCAATCTGAATAATCGTATTTAAAAAATGGGAATAGCATTCAATATTAATGCTCTATTTTGGTTTTATGGCTATCTTTTTGCTTTTGATATGCATGCTGATGTGATGGTATTTCAGGTTCAAGGGTACAGCAGCCTGGCCGAAAGAGAGTTAGATGGAATCCTGACTCAGGTTCTATAAGATTAGAAGCTTTGTTTTACTGTTGTCTTCTTTCATCTGTTTTTGGGGCTCTCTTTGCTCCTCAGAGATTCTGAATATAACTGATTAAAAAAACACTGACAGAGCTGGTGAAGTTGGATTTATTTGAAAAGCTTGAGCAGTGTCAGGTGTGAGAAAGTCTTTAGAATCTCTCTAACTACAATACTTTGGGTCAAATATCACTTATGAAAAGAACCTATATTATTTGTAATCTAAAGGTTTTTTGTCATTTGTAGTTCAATTTTTGTATGCATTAAGATAATATTTCTCCTTTGTAGGGCCAAAATGATGCAAAAGAAAAGAAAGAATGTGAAGGTGAGGATGTAAATGAAAATGAGGAGGAGGCAGAACCAGAGGACGAGGACTTTAGTGATGATGATTACTATAAGGTTCGTAAAGGAAATATTGGGTCTAATTTATGTATAAGATTTTTAACTTAATTAAAAGTAGTCACTTCAAAATTGTCATTGGTTGTACTTTGTTTATGCTCACTGTTGCAGTTTTCATTGCTTGTATTTGCCACCTGATTCCTCACATGTTTGTTAGAAGTTCTATTCACAATTTTCAAGTTCGGAACTGGAAGGCATGTTGACTTAGAATGAATTACGGCTATTTTAATTTCGTTTCCTGTATAAGGTTTCCGTTCATATTATTTTCTTGTTTCTGGTAGGATTAGGTTTTGTGTCCTCTCGACTGGGAAAACAAAATGTGTCTAATCAAACTATGGTCTTGCAGAACTCTGATTTTGATGATGATGAAGATGATTATAATATGGAAGATGACGGTGACGGTAGGACACATTTTTCTGATCCACTGCAATTTTTATCATACTCTTACTATATGGAATAATTGAGCTTGTGGATTTACTAATGAGCTTACGCTTTTGGTTTTAATGATGCAGGCGAACCTCTTTTATAGCGAGAAGGTGTAGCGTACGACGCGTACATCTCATGTCTCTTCCATAAAACGGGGTATGGCTGTGCAATTAGTTACTAATTTTCTTTCACAAGGCTCTTGTTCTTCGAGGAAACGATATCTCAGTCTGCCAACATTACAGCTTATTGGATTTTGTTAATACGAGGTCAATCTTGAATTGATGATACATGTCTTGCATATAAACCAAAAATGTTATATATAACACTACTGCCTTAATTCCATAACTGGCAACCAGCAGCAAGCGCACACACAAGGTTAACCATGCCGCATTTCGTATTCCAAACGCTCAATCATAACACTTTCCTTCTTAAATTGTTCCCTCTAATATTATAAACTAAGCAGCAATGAGAGGATAGGAAATGTGCGACAGAAGCTCGTTGCGATCCTCCAACGCCAATAATCATTGGAGTAGATGGGGGCTGCAGCACATCACTACCAGAGGAAATGCCATATTTTATATATGGTTTGAATAGCTGAACAGAAAAGCTTCGTTCTATATGTTATCAATCTCTAATGGTATCTATTGTTAAATGATGTTTTGGGATCATGAGGGGAAGATTAATTCGAAGATGTATGCAGGTGCTACTTATATCGAAATGCATTGGTTTCGACATTACCCTCCTCTTCATTTGACTATTAGCGTGAGCTGGGTTTGCGTAGGGTGTGCTATCCACACCCCTTTTAACTTCTCACACACCTTTGTTAATTTATATCCGTTGACCTTCTTCAATTCATCAAATCCGACGACCGAAAATTAGAAGGATGTGTGAGAAGTAAAAATGGGTGTGGATATCACATCCCTTTTGCATATCTTTTGTTTGCAAAGACAATATATCCTTAGGCATATCTTTTTGTATATTTAACATGCAATTCGCATGTGATATTCAGATCAAATGTAAACATATAAGACTCATTAAGTTTTGTGAAAATCCTTTGAAAAACCATACAACCCTTAAGACGTGACATTCGCCCTAAATGAACCAACAATTATTAACCACAAGAAGCATTTCTCAATTTCAAGGTGACATTCTAACAGAAATTGCATCGATTACTTATCTAACTAAACATCCTAATGGTAGCTAACCATTAAGACATAAAAACTGTTTAAACACAGTGATTAATAATTCAAAGTATGCATGCATAATATCTAAGCAATTATGAGGGTAGCCACAAAGAATCCCACATTTCTTGACCAAAACACCTTCAAATCGGGCCCAAGATGACTCTTTATAAAGTTTGAGATTCCTGAACATAGCTCCAAAGGGCCCATCACCAAAAGATACCATCTTGGACGCCAAAAAGCCTGAATAAGCCCAAAACGTCATTTTGATAGCACTACGCACTGTTCCTTTATTTCATTGCCATAAAGTATCCGTTTGGTAGAAAAATTTGAAACTTTGACACAAACAAGCTAAGAGACTCACGAACATCCTCCAATTAGAATCATTCGAAAATTCGTCAATTTGATCAATTTTTGCTCGAGAAGAAGTCGAAAGTTCTACATTGGAAACATGGCTGGCCTTGGCCTAGTGCTAGTTGGGCGACTGTCGGGGCCTTAAAAAATCGGGGGCACAAAAAAATTATGAGGGTAGTGTATTCATACATGTTTCCATAAGCGTATAAATTAAACAATGTTTGGTTGAATCATCAAGAAGTATATTTAGAGGAGCTGGGTTCGTTGTTGTGAAGTCTAGATTTATTATTTGGCTTCTCTTGTCAAAGGTTGTAAATTGTACCACACATGCCCTATTTAGATTTAGGATTTAAATGCTACTTTGGGATCATGCTACTGGAAATATCATTTCAAGAGCTTAACTTCTATCATCAAAGGTTTGTTCATTCATATGTATTTCATGCCATTGTTTCCAATTCATTATGTCTAGTGGGTCTGTCTAGTCAAAACTTCTTACTGCTTTCACACGAGCTGGGCACACACTTTAAGACAACCCACATGGGTCATCTGACAACTTTTTCCAGAAAAATGGATTTTCACCCTAGATATTTCTAAATTGCTTTTGCACATGACACATGTCTTTTCTTGTCCCATTTCTTGTTTGAAACTCAGCCCTCTTTATAAAGGCCATGCTAGGGTTCAATTGGTTTTTGGGGTTTGAGATTGGAAAAGTTTTTGAGAGTTTTTTTTTCATCTCCATCTTAGATCTCCTAGGAACATCAAGCATATTTTATGGGTAATATTCTTCATTGAATATTTCTAAACCTATCTTTGAATTTGCTTGATTAAATTCGTTTTATATGCTCATTTGTTTTGACTAGGAGTTTTATATTTTAGAAAAGAGTTGATTTTAGCTTTGAGCTACCTTTTGTGTTCTTACTTGAAAACCCTATCCACAAAATTACACTCATGCACTAAATACCCACATCATTGCATATTAGGTAACATTGTTTTTGTGATTTTGATTTTTGTTTTAGGTCAAGTTTTTCCAAGTTTCAAATCTGTGAACTAACCTGGTTTTTGGATTCTTGTCAATTTCATCTTTCAAGTACTTGACTGGTGAAATTGACTAGACCTCGAATCCAAATTTGCATATCATTGCCATATCATATGCATAGTTTGTGTGTTGGTCTCAGTGACACAAGGTGAAAAGTTCAGGAGGAGCTGCCATCTTGTGAAGACTGGAGACAACACTATTTCGGTGCTACAAGGTAAAGAGCTCAGGAGGAGCTGCCACTTCGTGAAGACCAAAGGAATCCATCTCGTGTAAGGCAAAGTTGCACAAAGGTAAAACTGCTCCGTAGATAAGGATCTAGGAATTGAGCTTGTGTGGTCTTTGTATGAACCTTGATTATACTAGTGGATTGGACTCAGTGGAGAGTCCCCAGTTTTTTAACTCAGAGGTGGGTTTTTTCAGACCAAAAACTTCCTTGTGTTCAATGCTATACATAGCATTCTTTATGACCAAATAACCATTGCTAGAGATAAACGTTGTAGGGTTTGCTAGTATTAACACGTTGTTAACCAAGTAAACATAACTCGAGAATTAAGGCTAAAACATAACTGAAGATCACACTGTCTTATTTTAGCTTTATAAGTTTGCTTGGTTTATATGCTTGTGGGCACTTAACAATCTGTACTCTGTTGACTAGTACGTTTGACTAGTCAGTACATTTGATTTCAAAGTTTACAATGCATATGATGAGCAATGAACTTAATTGTTGTTGACTAGAATAACTTGTACTAAACTAAGTTTGATTCATAGATTTGCGTTTGTTTAACTAATATGAATCTGTACTTAGTTGACTGGTAAGCTTGACTAGTAATCCAGCATGCTTTAATTCATAATTGCTTTGTCATTGCTGTTTACATAATGAACTGATACATAAATGTGTTCAAGCTTAGGGATTATTGTCGTGACACTAATCTAGGCAGTTTCTTATTAGTTGAACATATTGGTCAGTTTGGCTTTGCTCCTACACCTGCATTTTTTATCACTGACTAACTTGTAACTAGTTGACTAGCTCATTTGACTAGTCTACTGTGCAAAGTTAAATTTTTATTTGCAGACGATTCCACCTAGTACCCAATTTCAGTTGTGTACTGGTAACAATGAGGTCTTGGGTTCAAGCTAGTATCTGCCCGCCTTTTTCTTTGCAGTTTTTTACAAACTTTTGTCAAATTCCTTTTACCTTTGATAATAGTTACTAGCTATGAGTGGGTTGCATGCTTTTGACATTCATTCCAATTCAAGTTTAACTTTCAACAAATTAATGTATATACATCTTCACCAATTTAATTTAGCAAGAGATTATTAAAAAATGAGATCACTTTCAGGCAGCTGGAAAATTTGGAACGTTCTCTTTAACCAAATCTACAAGAATTTTGCTTAGAAAATTGCATTGTCAAAGCCTCGTGCTTAGACACTTCAGACATCAAGTATTGCTTGATTGAGGTTAGGATTTCTCTTGATGGATTATTCCTAAGTGATTTAGAACCTGAAACACCACAATTAACAAAGGCAGGGAAGAAAACGAAGATGCATCGGAAAAATAAGAAGCAGAAAAATAAGAAACGATGCAATTGCTCATTTATTATATGACTTGTTTATGTTTCGCTACTGTATGTTTGCCTGCTTGAATTGCTGGTTTGCTTTTCCTTTTTGTGTGAAGGAAGAGAAAGAAAAAGTTACTCATCTATATTGTAGACACATAAAATGATCATTGGAAATAATCTTTGTTTACTTATTTTCTTATTCCTTATACTTTAATATTAATGATGAAAAATGTAATTTGATTTATTAATGATGAAGAATGTAATTTTATTTATACCTTAATTTTAGAAGCTCATGACGACGATATAAAAAATAGCCTCTCACACGAACTAACATTTACAATCAAGACACTTATCTCCTTTTGAGTATTTGTGTTCTTACAGTTTGATACCGAATCAGCTCATTTATATTTGCACAAATATAATTGAAGCGGCCAAGCCCAGTGGAGGTGATTCGTGAACTTCGAAGTGACTAGCAGTATTGTCTTTAGACTTTGGAACCCAGAGGCTGAGACGAGTTCCTTCCTCGACCACAATCGCTAGATACATAAGTCAGCAGTGCGTTCGACACCATCACCACCGTCATCACTCATCGACCAAGAACAGTCGACGAGTTGGCACTCCCTGCGTTCAATCGAAAGAAGTAGTTAGCTCATTAGCTATTTGGCCTGCGCGCCCCAACCCATGTAGGCTAAATAATTTTTAGGGTTAACAAAAAACTAACTTTCTTCTCTCTGGTTAGGGTCGGCAGGCAACTTGCTCTTCCTCATTTTCCTTCTCCTTTTTATCCCTTTACCCCTCTCTCAAATCCTCTTCCTTCCTTTCCATCTGGTCTCCCCCCTCCCCCACCTTACCCCTTCCCATCCCCTCTCTCTTCCCTCCCATATTTTTTGGTCCTCTTTCATCAGTTTTCATGGTTGATTTCTCTTCATTGTTTTCGGTAACCCTTTTAATTTCTAGTTTCCTTGAGCTTGTCTCAAATTTGGGCTTTTATGCCCCTTTCTTCCTCCGTTGCTTCTCCCCGTCGTCAGCCTTCCACCGCCGACCTAGACTACTTGGCCAATTGCGTGTCTCTCGTCGGCGGCGCACTTTTGTGTTGGATGGTTGTTGAAGTGTTTTAGCACTAATTGGTAGGATTATGGAAGTGCTTTTTGTGTGGATGGCTCGCTCACCCCTATTTTCCGTTCATCCAACTTGTTCGTGGGTTTTCCTTTTGGTGGTGGTGGTGGTGGCGGATTGCAATGGCAGTGCAGCTGCTGTTGTGGAGGCATCAATCTTCCAAATCTACGGTTTTTGTTGTTGTAGGTTTGCTCCCTTTTGGCATCTATGTTGTCTTTTTTTTTTTGGGACCATGCATGTATTTGGATTGCCTCTGAGCTTTCAATTTCATGTAATAGTTTTTTATTTAATGAAAGTTTCTAGTTTGACATTTAAAAAAAAAAAAAAAGACAGTGAAAGAGGAAATTTAAGAGTTCGAAATTAATTATCATATAGAACCGTAAGACTTCCAATTTGTGTCTAACCAACATCGAATCTTGCTTGGCCCTCCTGGAAGTGAAAATTGCCACTTAAGCCCTCAATCCCCACAGTAGAAAAGCAACATGAGACACTAATGTGGTTTA